AGATTCTACATCATTGCACAGCACTACAAACAGGGGACATTTTAGGATGTAGTAGCATGATTGGTTTCTTGTTAGACCGCCTTACATTTCTTAGAGCCTCTTTGTGACCACAGGAGGCTGGCATTGTGCAGAATAGTAAACCCAGCAAAACTTAAGACTGGGGCTCTGGCCTGGCATTGTGACCCATGCATGTAATCCCAGCTACTCAGGAGGCTGAGGCAGGAGGATCACAAGTTCAAAGCCAGCCTCAGCAATGTAGTGAGACCCTGTCTCAAAATTAAAAGAGCTGGGGATGTAGCTCAGTGGGAGAGGGCTCTTGGATTCCATGTCCATTACTAAAAAATGTCGGGGGTGTTGTAGGGATAGATATGTGGTTGTTTCCAGCAATTGATGGATTTGTTACAATTAGTAATAAGCAGCTCTCCTGAAATTCTGCAGTTGCCTCTTGAAATAGGCAAACCTCAGATCACATGGGTAGGATATTGCTAATGGGGTGAGAACTTTTCCGGGCCATTAAAACAAGTTCCTGTCACTTGCCTGTAAGTGAAAGTTTAAACAAACCTCCTTTCTCAGTTAGGAAGACCAGAATCAATATCTGAATCCAGCAAAATTCAATGTCACTTGGCATGTTTCTTCTGGGCACACAAAACCCACAGAAGGCAGGAGCCTAGGTTGATGACCAAGTGTCCTGACTCAGAATCGAACTTTCCACAGAGCATTTCCAACAGTGTAAATCACCAATAATTAGTTGCTATATTAACATTGCACAATGCTGTACAGCCTATCAATCATTTTCATATACATGTCTCATTTAATTCTCATAAAAACTCAATGAGGTGAATATTATTCTTCTACTTTTACAGAGGAGAAAACGGAGGCGCAGATAACTTAAGCAAATTGTCCCAGATCTCAGGGCAAGTGTTTATCAATGATGGGTTTACATCTGGTCTTAGGAGTCCAAGTCCATTTGTGCCCTTGGTCAAGGTGCAAAGATGAGAGGTAGGAGTGGGGACTGTAGGTGGAAGGGTCCATGCAGAGAAATGTGGGGCAAAATCTGGTCAATTAGGAATAGGCTGTCCCTACACAGCAACGGCCTTTTAACAGCCTTCTTTCTGCCTGGGAAAGTAATCAGGTGGAGGCAGAGACCTTCAGATCTGGAAGTGACCAAGGTTATTATAGGTTCAACATCTCCATTTTTCAGATGGGAAAGCTGCTGAGGTCCAGAGAGTTTAGGTGTCTTGCAGAGACACACTGCTGCCTGGGATGGTTTCCCAGTTTTCTGCTCTTACAGTGGAATTTCTACCACTACACATAGGTGTTCTTTCCTGCCTTTCTCTCTCTCCTTCTCTCTTTGACTAGGTAAAAATGTGTTTACAATGAAAGATAATTGGAAATTTCTTAGATAAGCAAACCAATATTAACATTTGCTACTATTCATTGTGCCACATTCTGTGCTAGATACTTCACATGCATGATTTTTTTTTTTTTATCTATAAGAACTCTGCAAATTCTATGTTATTATCTTGTTAAGACACTAGGACCAGGCACAAGGAGGGACTGGCTCAGGCAATATTGAGTTCATGATTTTCCCGCTGTGCAGTGGGGCCTCTGCAATAATTTATCACTTGTCCTAGAAAACCAAAATGTCTGAATTTTTTATATAGTCAAGTATCATTTTTTTGGAAATCATTAAAATTCAAATTGTCTGTGTTTATTCCTAGAACTATATCTGATTAAAAAGGGAGATAGGGGAGATGAATCAGTTATCGCCTTTAAACAGAGTCCTTAGAAGTCTTGATTAATACATATTTTTTTTATTGTGGAGGAAAACCAACATTTTTTAGAGCTATAATTCAAGTCATATGCTTAAGTAATTTTTTTTAAGAGAAGAAATAGTTTTTTATTTTCTTTCAACCCTGTTCCTCTGGAGTGGTAGGGGCAGAGTTCCAGGGGGGTACTTTCGTATTAATTAGTTTTTCCCTTCAAATTCAAATACCTTTCAGAGAGCTCAGCATATTCATCATTTATACCTCAGTTAGAGTTACTTTGATATGTGTGCTTTCCGCAGCATATGATATGTTTTCCAGAGAGAGAGAGAGAGAGAGAGAGAGAGAGAGAGAAAGTGTGTTGGGAGGGGGAGATACAGTTTTTTCACTTGGAAAACTTTGAGAAGAGGTCAAAGGATGTAGACCAAGAGGTTGGTAAGGGTCTTAGTAAAGATTCTCAATTTCTGTTTTTTTTCCCTCTGACCCTTAGTGTCTGTTCCTGGTCAGTGTATCCTGAAATCCTGAAGTGAAAAGGGGATTCAATTACTGGCTTCAAGTTCTCACGTTTGTCAGGCACTGTATGGAGGTATCATATGTCCTTCAGTATGATTCCAAACACTAGACTCCTGTCATTTGACTCATCTCTTGTTTTTAACCTACAAACTTAAGCTTGAATTCTGATATGCATCTGATTGCTGATGGCTCATTTTGGCATCTGAACCCTGTTGACTTTTCCCATTACTGGTCCCCTACCTATAATTCTTGGACTTGTTTTATTTATTTATTTGTTTGTTTATTTATTTATTTATTTATCTATCTATCTATTTATTTTTGCCTGGCTTCCCATTCTGGGTCTGGGATGTCTCATTGCATCAGTCATGCTGCAACAGCCAAGATTCAAACTCATCGATCATCCAGGTAAACAAGAGGACTGTTGCAGCACTTGACGATCTCACATCTTCATCTAGCATATGGTGAGATTCTCATGGTCTTTTTGAGTAGGGGGTTGATTTTACACATAGAGTTCAATAGTTCAGAACTATTTTGTAATGAAGGGACAATAACAGTTATTCTTTCCAGTTCTTAGGTTAACTATGACTTTATAAATTCTAACACACTATTCCAAGTTTATATTAAGTTCTGTGTTGTCTGGGAGTGAGGTCAGTCCATTTTTCCAAAGAAGACCAGACATACTCCTGTGACGCAGGATATTTGATACAATTCTCTTGGGTGATAATTTTTACTGCTTCTTCCTCATTCTAACAGTGAACAAAAGACAGTTTGCCCACTGAGCCTAGATTTTTGTAGTAACTTTATCAGTGTGAACTTCTAACTTATCTCATTAGGATGTTATTAAAGGAAGGAGACTTTTCACATCTAAGAGAGCTAATCCAAATCAAGATCCTCATTTGGGAAAGGCACTCAGTATCTTATCCCAGCAAAGTTGGTGCTTTGTCTTTCAGGTGTGTTGAGAGTACACAGTTATGGCTAGGTCTTGACAAATGAGTTCAGGATTTATTTCTTGTCATTTTCCAAGAATATATTGCTGCATCTGCGAAGTAAGATATGGTGGATTCTCAAATATCAGTTCTTTCAGACCATTGCTCTTAAGAATTCACATTGGGTTTATTTCTAGAATTATAACTGATTATGACAGAGAAGTCGATGAGTCAATGTCATCTCTTAGAAGCTCATGATGATTTTAAGGGCATAGTGTCAATCATACGTCTAACCAAAATCAAACAATTTCAGGTGTGGCTCTTAACTTAATGGATTTCCACGGTGGTAACACTTTATATAATTACTTGCAACTGCCTTTAGAGTGGTAGGGTTTGGTGGAGCTGGGAACACTGACCTCGGGAAGGATATGGGCCAATTCTTGGCAATCATGTGACTCATCAGCCGTTCCTTCCTGTCATTAGCTTGGCACGGACTGGATGATCCAAAGAGTTCTATTCCCGGTTCATGTCGAAATTCTCTGTTGTGCTTTGAAATCTTAAGTAATGATTTCCTTCCATTGTGCAACTCATGAAGTCTGATAAGGCAATGTGGGTGGCATTCTGTTCCTGAAAATCTCTCTGACAGAGGCCACCTATAGGTGTTCTAGAGTTGCTTGAGGAACGTTAATATTGGATAATGCCAGAGAGGGCAATGAAACACACCCTTGAGGAGCCGAGGCAGAGATGAGCAGGGGCAAATCTAAGAGGGATGCAGCAAGAACTTAAAGGATGCATCATGCAGACAACCAAGGTCAGGGAGAGCAGAAGGGAACACCCAGAAAACAGTCCCTGATAAAGCAATGTGGTAATTGGAAGTGTTTGTGGGGATGTGAAGGAAGACTCTGGAGGCCTCCAGGGTAAGATAAGGCAAGCAATCAACATGTCAAGGTAATTTGTTAGCAGTTCTGGCTTTAGGTGGAGGTGTATAAACCTGCCTGCTGTGATGAATGACGGCTGCTAATTTGAAGAAACTTGGCCACAGAAGCACAACAGCAAAGTGGAACTTACTTGGAACTGAGAAGACAGTCACCTATACCTATAAATGTCACATCTGCCCAATGAAGGTAGACCCTGATCACAATTCTCTGATGGAGACGCAGGACTGGGCATGGATTCCATAAAGCAGGGAGGGCATCTCCCAACTTTCCATGATCTTGCTGAGAAGTTTGTATGAACTAAGGTTCTCCCAAAAGCTGCAAAATGGGTATAAAGGCTTTCTTGTGTTTGGTACTGGGGATTGAACCCAGAGGTGCTCTACCACCGAGCTACATCCCCAGCCCTTTCTAATTTTTATTTTGACCGGGTCTCACTAAGTTGCTGAGGCTGGCCTTGGAATTCTGGCCTCAGCCTCCTTAGTGGCTGGGTTACAGGTGTGTATCTCACAGCTGGTAGTAGAAAGGCTTCTTAGTAGATTCATCTCACTTGATCTTAGCCAAAAGGCCGAGAAGCGATAGTAGATTCATCTCTACAGGCCAATCAGACATGAACCAGCCCTCCACATCCTCACGAACTCTGCACAACCCTTGCCACCTCTCGGAACTGTAATGACTGCGCTCTCTTCTCATTGATCTCACTGATTGTGCTTTACAATGCCACTGAGCCCAGACCAGCTGTTCACAACCCTAACCATCTCAATGATCCCACACCGATCACATGCCCCATACCACGTTGTTAATCTCACTCCTGACTTTGTATTTTTCTTACTTCCTGCTAAGCTCACACTGACAGCACCCACCTTCACCACGGCAGCGATTTCACATCCGCTCCTCACTGAGTGCAGCTGAGCTCACACAGCTGAACTCACTGATCATACAGTGTTGTGACACACCGGCTATTTGTCCACTCAGTGTCTACTTTTCTGCTTTTTTTTTTCCCAGAAATAATCTCTGGTTTTACTATGATGATGATGATACGTAAGCTACCAGACTGCCTGTCCTACCCTTCTCTGCTGTTACATTTGATGATGTGATTAAGTTTTGGCCAATGAAATTTGAGGAGAAGTTATTGCGTGGAACTTCTGGGAAGGTTCCTGGGGTCTTCATCTTTTGCTCTTAGTCTCACCATTCTTCTTCCACCTACTTTCAAAAACAGGTCTGAGAGTCAGGTCTCATCAGTTATCTTGTGACTTTGAGAATAGAAGCCACCTCATAAGAATGGTGGGGGTCATAAGTTAGAGTGTGGGGGGTCTGAGTCCTTGATAACTTCATAGGACTGCAATATCACCCTGAGCCTTCTATCGTTTGATTTCTTTTATGTGAGGAAATGAGCCCTTTGTTTTGCTTGAGCCACTGTATTTGGGTTTCTATTATGGTTTTGGGCAACTTTATGTGGCTGTGAACAAAATACCTGACAATAAGAACTTAGAGGAGGGAAAGTGTATTTGGGGTCCAAGGCTTCAGAGGTCTCAGTCTGCGGACGGGCAAATCCATTGCTCTGGGTCCAAAGTGAGGCAGAACCCCATATTAGAAGGGCTTGGTGAAGGGCAACTTTACCCTCATAGCAGGAAGGGGGAAGGGGCCCACAGGGAAGGCGAACCCTTCCAGGGAACTCCCCCAGAGACCCACCTTCTCCAGTTATACCCCATCTGCCTAGAGTTACCAGCCAGTCAATCCACTCAAACTAGGATGGACTGATTAGGTCACAGCTCTCACAATCCAATCACTTCACCTCTCAACATTCCTGCCTTAACACAAGAACTTGGGGGGACACCTCATATCTAAACGGTAACAGTTACTATGTATGAATCCGGTTCTTACTGACACAGCCCTCCCCTTTCTATGGAGCTCACACTGACTATGCATATGCTTATGATCCCCCTCGGCCAATGTGTGTGTATATTAGCAACTGACAGTCATGGTGCATAAATGAAATAACTGACTTATTTTTAAAAGCTAAGACGAGTCTCTGCATTTTCCTTTTGACTTATCCAGTTGTATAAAGCAGAAGGAATCAACTCTCTGAGGGACATAAATCACATTCTATAAATGTTAATGGGGAGAGGCTGAACTCAAACTCCCCAAGTTGTAGCCTGGAACCAATATTCAGATGGTGAAGAGAGATGCTGGGACCAGCGTTTCTTCCTTCTCTGGATCAACACCAAATCATGTTATAGAGATCACTTCTGCATCGTGGAGGTTGGGGTGCAGGAAGTCTAATGGGCAAACCTGTCCATTTTCTTTTATTTATTTTTTAGTTATAGGTGGACACAATATCTATATTTTATATTTATGTGGTGCTGAGGATCGAACCCAGTGCCTCACGCATGCTAGGCGAGCGCTCTACCAATGAGCCACAACCCCAGGCCCCAAACCCGTCCATTTTCTATGTAATGCAGAGTCTCCTCCACACAGTGCACCTCCTAAGGGAAAATACACTCAGCTTTCCTCACCTGCAGATTCTCCATCTGCAGATTCAATCAACAATAGGTCAAAAATATTTTTAAAAATTGCATCTGTATTGAATATGTGCAGGCTTTTGTTGTCATCACTCCCTAAACGATACAGTGTAACAACTATTTACATAGAATTTACATTGTATTAGGTATTATGAATAATCCAGAGAAGATTTAAAGTGTACAGCAGGATGAGCTTAGGTTATATGCAAACACTATGCTGTTTTATATAAGGGATTTGAGCTTTCCTGGATTTTGGTATTTACAGAGGGTCCTGGAACCAGTCATCCATGGTTACTGAGGGACAATTGTGTTTGAAAAACATTTTCACATTAATATCTTCTGCTTAATAGCACCTTTCCTTCTAAAACCCCAGGAGAAGAAAACTTTGGCTAGGGAGATTGCAACTGGAAATCAGGGACTGGAGAGTTGGGCTCACATGAATATTGCCCAATACAGGGATATTCTTTGAATGGCGCTCCCTCCAGGGGGCAAAGTAGCGGTCCTGACTTATTGCCATCTTATCTTCCATCACAGTCGCTGATCAAGTTTTTAGGAGCATGGACATTGTGAAACGCTCGTGCTGATTTTAGCTCCTTATTCTTTTGAGAAAACTTCCTCCTAGAGGCTTTAACATGGTGGAGTGGGGAGAGGGGTTCTATGGGAAGACACTGTTCAGGTACGTGGCTTCCCCACCAGAGACTCTTAAGGCTGCAAAGAGCAAGCCTGAGAAGTGTGGGATTGAACTCTAGATAGGAAACAGTTATCTAGCTATGGGAATTACCTCTTTTTTGTTCAATCATAACTAGGAGGTATGACTTAAAACCTTTCAGCACAGCTGAGCATAGTGGCTCGTGCCTGTAATACCAGCAACCCAGGAAGCTGAGGCAGGAGGATCACAAGTTCAAGGCCAGTTTCAGCAACTTAGTGAGACCCTGTCTCAAAATAAAAAAATAAAATGTGTTGACGATGTAGCTCAGTGGTAGGGTGTCCCTGGGTCCCATCCCTAGTACCAAACAACAAAAACAATCATAAACCTGGAGGCAGCAGTTCTAATATAAAAATGAAATATTATTTCATTAATTTTTAGGTGGCTGGTCTCTGTACTTCTGGGCTCCTGCCCTTCTTGACTAGATGAGGTATCCGGCAGAACCATAGGAAGTGTCTAAATTACTCTCTTTGGGAGACCTTTGATAACTGGCTGTTACTTACCAGTCGGGGGGTCATGACCCCTTGGGAAACTCCAGACTTGTTCAGGAGGACTAACAGATGTTATTTTGCTCTTAAGAGATTCCACTTTGATAGACAATCACACATTTAACCATTTCTCTAATAAGTAACCTGTGTTCGTTTTTGGGTGATGGATTTTGTATCTTTTTTTTTTTTTGTAGCAGGGATTGGACCCAGGGGTGCTTAATCACACTGAGCCACATCCCCAGCCCTTTAAATTTTTTATTTTGAGACTGGGTCTTGCTAAGTTGCTCAGGGCCTTGCCAAGTTGCTGAGGCTGGCTTTGAACCTGCAATCCTCCTGCCTTGACCTCCTGAGCTGCTGGGATTACAGGCACGTGCCACTGCACCCGGCTCATATCTTCTTAACCTCTATTGCCCTTCCTTTCTGCCCATTCTGTCTACTGCAGCCTTTGGATATTATTTTTATCCTTTTCATGTTAAAATTATGCTTTACGATAAAGAAGCTGCTGTTTTCAAGCCTTCATTCATCTAGGCTGTTCCAAGTTGTCCCTGTTGGTAGGGACACATCACTTAGCTTACCTGAGCCTCAGTTTCCTGATCTGTCAAATGAAGGCAATACCAACCCTGAGACAATTCATTCAAGTCACAAACTGGTGAGTTGGTAGAGTCTGGGGCCACACCCAGAGCTCCTTATTCACCTCTTCAATCTTTTCCTGTGACATCAATAACTCAGCTTGTTATGAAAATCAGATTAGGTAACGTAGTGAGAGGCATTTTACATTCTGAAAAGTGACACGAAGATCTTTGTGATTATTGCTAGGGATTTACGCTCCCTAACGATCCTGGTGGCAGAGTGAGGCCTCTGATCTTAGAGAAAATTACTTTCCTTCACTGTTTCATTTCTCCCACAAACCTCAGGGGAACAGCTCTTAGGCTTTGTAAAGAGTCAACTGATGCTTATGAGATTTTTAAGCTACAGCTGGGAAAGCTTCTGAAGGCCTTTTCCCGTGTCTAAGTCTTCTCCGATCTCACTGTAAGCTCCTTTGCCACCAGGGACCACAGTAATAATGTCATACCCTTTAGGCATCTTTCTCTCTCTCTCTCTCTTCCCCTGTCAAGAGAAGCCTGAGGATTCCACGCTCCCTTTTTGTATCTCTGTGGCTCAGAGCCAAGCTCAGATCGTGTTCATTTCTGATGGACAAAACCACCTTAGTGTGGAACCTCTTGGAAAGACTATTTTGAGAATACAATGGCAAATGTGTTCTGGGAGCTGGATCAGGATTCCTAATCCCAGGGACTGTGGAGGTTTGAGGCAAGAGGATTGCAAGTTCAAGGTCAACCTCAGTAACTTAGCAAGACCATGTCTCAAAATAAAATGTAAACACCACCAATCAATCAATCAATCAATCAATCAAACAACAGCAAAAAACCAAACCAAACCAACCAACCAACCAAACAACTACAAAACCAGGCTGGGGATGTTGCTTAGTGGATATAGCTTACTGAGTTGGACCCCCAGTATCAAAAACACACAAACGAGAGAGGCATTGTGTTGTCACAGAGGAATTAACATTGTCCATAGGTGGGGACTTCAGGTCCTGGACTGGTGGTGCTGATGAAGTGTCTCCCACATCCCATCTGATTCTGAGGCTGCAGTATTTGCTGTGGGTTGTTCCTCTCGTTGCCTTAGGCCCTGGTGCTATTCCTCTGCTGTCCACACGGAGGCGCTGGCTCTTCCATTTCTCTTTGTATAGGACCTAAGGACATTTCAGAGGGTCTGAGTTCTTGGGAGGAGTGAGCTGCTTTTAAGTGAGTTAAATCACCGAAAAATAATAGAATTGTAAGTTTTTTAAGACCAAAGAATTTCTGAGGAACCTTGTAGTTCAAAGTTCTTATTTTATAGACTAGGACAACTGAGGCTCAGGGAGGGTAACAGATGTGCTCAGACTTTTGCAGGCAATATCATCTGGGTTAGGATGATAATGCGGGTTTCTGATTTTAATTAAGTGTTCTTTACTCCCTAATCATAATCAAGAGGAAGACATACTTTTGAGGAGGGTTAGGGCATTACCTGATTTATTATCTGGGGATAGTAGCCACTCTAAAATAAAATGGCTCTGAGATAGTTTTCAAAAACCATCAGGGTCACAAAAATGGACATATAAATTGCAATGTCCCTGTCTACATTTCCCAGAGCGTCTCATTTCTCTTCTTGTTTATGATTTCACCTTCGAGTGTGTTCCATCTTCATAAAGTAAAGAGCACAAGGAGGTACCCATAGGAAGCTTCATGGCATGTTGACCTTCGATTTTTTTTTTTTTTTTTTTGATTGGGAAACATGAGTTCTAATGAGAGCCCAGAGAGGAAGAGAATAAAAAGGGCACATTTCCTTCATCTTGATCTCTGCTGACTGATTTCCTTTGCTGCGGGGAATGTGGACTTGGGCTTATTTCCAAGGCTACGCGTAACCAAGAACTGGAAATGAAAAACTTAGCCAGTGCTCAACAGTTTTCTTTGTGAAATAAATTTTATTTCAAAAATTAAATTCAACTATCATGTAAAATTATAAAACAATTTTACATTTTCACCCAATGGTGTATTGGAGATGAACCACCCTTGGCTCACAAGAGTGGGTGGTTATTCAAGAATTGTTCTCAGTCTGTTAAGTCATGGGTCGCTTGAAATCAGACATGATAGAATGGAGTGTTATTCACACCATGAAAATCAACACATGCTACAAATCAGAGCTTTTTATTGTTTTCCAGAGAGCCAGTTTGCCAGCACTGTGATATCTTTGGCACATGAGACGTTTCATTACCCAGAGGTAATCACTATTAATTTTCTTATGTAAATATTCAGAAAAATTATTATTCATATGCTAGCACATATGCATGTATTACTGTAATTCATTTATAGAGAGAGAATCATATTTTAGAAAGTTTCTTGAGATTTTTTTTTCCATTTAAATATGTAAGGATCCAACTCAGTTTTAAACTATTATATAGTAGGCTATACTGTAGTTTATTCAACCAATGACACAATGACTTCATGTGTCCCTTGTTGGGGTTTCTCCCAAAGTAGATCCTGTGATATGGACTTAGGTGCAGACAGTTTGTGGTTAGCTCCCAAAATTTTTATTATTACTATTTTTTATAACAGACATTATATTTTATAATAAATTTAAATTTATAGAAATACTGAGAATTAGCTTTCATATAATCCCTCCTGACAATTTCCCTATAATGAACATTTTACTATCATATGGTAGATTTGTTACAAATAATGAACTGATAATGCCTTGCTATATTATTAACCAAGGTCTATAGTTTATTCAGATCTCCTTAGTTTAACCTAATAATCTTTTTTTTTTTTTTGGTTTCAGGGTCAGATTCAAAGTACCACATTATATTTAGTTGTCAAGTCTCCTTAGGTTCATCTTGGCTGTGACAATTTCTCGCTTTCCTGACTTCTGATGACCTTGATGGTTTTGAAGAGCTCTGGTCAGGTAAATTATAGAAGACTTTCCTGTTGGAATTTGTGTGCTTTTTCTCTCATGATTAGTCTGGGGTGTGAGTTTTTTTTTATAGGAAGATTGCAGAGGTAAAGTGTCATTTCCATCATCTTATATTAAGCATACAAATTATCAGCATGATTTGTGATTGCTGATATTGACCTTGATAGCTGACGGAGGCAGTGTTCCTCAGGCATCTCTCAAGTTACTTTCCCACCTGCTGCCTTTCCGTACTTCTTCATTCTTTGCAAGGAAGACACTCTGTGCAGTCCACACTGAAGGAGTGGGAAACTCTGCCCCCTCCCTGCAAACTACCCCTCTTTGAGGATAGAGTATGTACATACATTATTGGAGTTCTTCTGTACAGGATATTCATGTCTTCTCTCATTTATTTACTCATGCATTTATTTATATCAGTGTGGACTATGGATAGTTATACTTTATATTATAATTCAGTATTATTTTATTCATTTTGTTATTCAGCTTTGGTCAGTGGGAGCTCTTTCAGTTGGATCCTGTGGTGCTTTTAAGGAATAGAAATGTATTCTGTTTGCCTCAAATAATGGGGGAGTGCTGAATTTTGTTTGTGATGGCTAGCTTTGTTTGACTTCTAAAACCATTTTGGTCAGCCATCTGTCCCCCATCGTTAAAGAAGATTCTTCATTAATAATTGTTCATTGAGGTTTCTAGTTTTGGGCTTTGATCTAATTTTTTTTCTAATCAAGGCTAAATTTAAGAAAATATATGACATACTTTCCTGTTTCTATAACTACTTGAGTAGGCTGTGTGTGTGTGTGTGTGTGTGTGTGTGAGCTTCCATTCTACAATGCTGTGTATACAAGGTCCTGTCTGCTGTCCCTGTAGCTATGACTTGTGCAAGTAAGATAACCACATGCCCTTATTATCTTTCACTGTAGCTTTCTCACTCCTTTTCATCTTGTCTCTTAGGACTTTCCTTTGCTTTTTTTTTGTACTTCAACTATGCATTTAAAAATATGCTTTACATTTTACTCAGAATTTCAGAATCTTTTATATTTTGGATTTTCTCAGTCTTATATTGCCAGAAATGGAAGTCCTACTCTTTACACCCTCCTTGGGAAAAAAAACCTCAATGTTTTATTTTGAGAAATTAAAAAAAAAACATATAAAATGTTATTTCCAATGCACCCAATCCCCCACCCAGGATTGAAAATCTTTAATTGATTCCATGAATATGTATGTGCCCATACACTGTTTTAGAAACTTGAGATAAATCAATGAAGAAAATAAAAATTCTTCTTTCCCATGGACTTTAAAATTTAGTGGTAGATACCGACAATGAATAATAAACATAATATGCGATTATATGAGGTGGTATATGGAAGGGGATAGATGTTCTTAGAGAAAATAAAAGCAAGACAACTAGATAAAGGTTTAGGAATCAAGAGTGTGGGAAAAAGATTGACTTTATTTTATTTTTTTTGCTTTTTTAAATAAGTCAGTAGTGTTAGTCCATTTTCTGCTGTTGTAACAGAATAACACAGATGGAGCAATTTATAAAGAGGTTTATTGGTTCACAGTTCTGGAGGCTGGGAAATCCAAGTTCCTAGGGCTGCATCTGGTGAAGATCTTTTTTTTTTTTTTTTAAGTACTGGGGATTGAACCCAGGGGCACTTTCCCATATGAACAATATCCCCACCTCTTTATTTTTTATTTTGAGACAGGGTCTTACAAAGCTGCCCAGGCTGTCCTTGAGTGTGTGATCCTCCTGCTTCAACCTTCTGTGTCTGTGGAATTACAGACATGTACCACCATGCCCAGCCTGCTGAGGACTTTCTTGCTGCATCGTAACATGGTGGAGGGTATCACATGGTTAAAAAAAGGCACAGGAGAGAGAGAGAGGTAGGTGGGATCAAAAGAACTGGTGGGAGAGAATTACTTTTTATAACAAAGCCACTTCCATGATAACTAACCCAGTCCTGCAACAACAACATTAATCCAGTCATGAGGGTGGAGCCCTGATGCCTATTCACCTCCTAAAGACTCTGCCTCCCAATATGGTCACAGTAGCAATTCAATTTCAACCTAAGTTTTGGATGGGACGTTCAAATCAAAGCAGTGGTTCTTGTGGGTCTCATTGAAATGATGACATTTGAAATGAAGCGGCACCCCCTTTCTCCACAGAAAAGTCTTAACTGGGCTTCTCCAGAGATTTTCACCATGGCTGATTTTAGAACTGTCAGCCAAAGAGTCTCTGCAAAAGAGCTCAATGTAGATAAACTTCCTATTTTCATGTTTCCCTGTTTTACTTGGCCACTGGCCAGAAAGATACCAGCACTCCAGGTGCTGGACACCCCTTACTAGTTTTTCACAAACGTATCCAGTATAGTAGTTTGTAGAAATGTGCAAACAAGGCCTCTGGCCTTGAGCTGGGCTTCACAGAGATGTCTACATTTTTAAGATAAGTTACAATTGGGCTCCATGGTAACAGCTGGCAGGGGAGGAAAGGGGAGAAGGAGCTCTCCCCTTCTCAGGTGTTGTCCTTGAAGAGTTAACTTGCCCAGAACAGTGAAAGAAAAAGCTGCTTTTATGTGAACTTCTGCAGACTGTGAACTTCTGAGCCCCTCCCCGTACATGCTGGGTATAAAACTCTGAAACTCCCTGAACTCGGGGTTCAGGGGATTGATTACAGCAAAAGCTGTGCCCCCTGAACCTGGCTGCAGCCAAATAGAACTGTTTCCTGCTGTCTTCAGTCCTTGTATTGTCTGACCCTACAACAGAAATAAGGCCAGAAAGAGACGAGGGAGCTGACCAGGTAAACTTCTGGAGAAAGAACATTCCAGCCAAAGCTCTAGCTAAGATGGGAGTGTCGCCGATGGGTTTGAGGAAAAGTAAGCTGACCCATGAAGCTGGAGAAGAGTAAAGGGACAAGTCTTAAGAGAGGAAGTGCAAAAGGAGATGGGGACAGATTCTAAAGGGGCTTCTCAGCCATTGTAAGGACTTTGACTGTTTTCTGAGTGACATGGGAATCATTGAAGGTGATCCTCTTCACAAGAACAACAGAAAGAGCCTATATTTCCTGAAGAATTTGAGAGGCACTTGCCAAATGATATCCTACCCTTGCCATAGTTTGAAGGTGTGCCCCCAAATTCATGCATAGAAGTCTAAGACCCAATGTGATAGTAAGTCATGAGGGCTCCACTCTCACTCATAGGATCTGCACCCTTAATTATCAAAGGGTTCAAGGGAACTAGTTGGTCCTTTTGCCCCTTTTGCCTTTCCCCAAGTTAAGACACAGTGTTCAGGACGCCATCTTGGAAACAAAGACTGGGCCCTCACCAGACTTGGAACCCACTGACAGCTTCATCTTGGACTTTCTAGCCTCCAGATCTGTGAGAAATAAATTTCTATTATATAAATTACCCAGTTCATGGTCTTTTGTTATAGCAGCAGGAGTGGACTAAGAAATCACCACATACTTTGATGTATAGTATCTATGAACAAGGATATTTTCCTCTAAAACTACAACACAGCCATTGAGATCAAGAAATTAGTGCTCATCTCTCACTATCATCTTATCTTCAGACCCTCTCAAAACTTCACCAATTGTTCCAGTATGTCCTTGGTATAGTGCAAGTGCCTCATGTACAGCACACGTGGCCTTTAGTTGTCATGTCTCTTTAGACTCCTTCATTCTGAGAGAGTTCTTCAAACATTTTTTTGTGATATTGGCATTTTATAGATTACAGACATTTGTAGAATGTCCCTCTATTAGGGTTCACGGGATGTTACCTCACAATTAGAATTAGGTTGTGCAATTTAGCAGTATTATCACAGAGCAGGTGAGCTTTCTCTTGCGTTTAGTCAAGAGCTCACAATTGGAATTCATCCCATTACTGATGATGATGCTAGCTTTGATCCCTTACCGAATGCCATGTCTGCCAGGTTTCTCCACTATAAGGTTACACTTTTTCCTCTTTGTAATTAACAAGCATTTTGTGGAACGACGCTGTGTAAATATCCTTTTCCTCACCAAACTTTCACTGACTAGTTTCCAGTTCATATATCTGTAAATAAATATGACTCAGCGCAATGATGAACTGGATTCACCATTAGTTCTATTTCTATTCCCCCCTTTTAAAAATGTAGTCTCTGAGAAATCGTGTTCATGCAAATAAGTAGATGGGATCAGAACAAGTTTTATACAAGTATGTTTGCTTCATTCTTTGAATGCCTTTCCAGTTATATGCCTCAAGTCACAGACTCTCTGTCATAACTATTATATATAACATTCTACCAACTGATTAGATTTTCCTGATATCTTGAAAAAAGAAAGAAACCCCTAAACTACCTGATGTACAGAAAGATTTGTTTCCCAATTTTTAATTTCTCTGAAATTTAGATGCAACAAAGGAACCTTAATTTTATCGATTGCTTTTTAGTGGTACCTGTTTAACCAGATAGACTTAGAAAGGCTTAGGAACATGTAAATATTATTTTTAATTCACCTTTGTTAATATTATATTTTGATAACATACCTTAATTTACTTCTTATTGGGGAAAGATGCTAGATCTAGGGTTCGTGAGACAATTTATGGAAATTGTCTACCATATAGCCTAATGAGGATGGGCTACTAATTATGCCAATAAACCACAACTGCCCTGGGCAAACCATAACATGTATTTTATATTATCTAATGAGCAAAGCACTATTCATTGTCAAAGCAATCAGCCAAATCAATTTCTTCTTTGTCAGAAAAAGTCTGACTCTGACTTTGTATTCAGTCCCAATAAACATGCTATTATGCATCCCCATGACAACCATCTCATTTTTGAATGCAGCAACTAGCTGGGGATCAGATGATCCCACTTCCTTACATATCAATTTAAAAAGATGCAAGTTTAACTCCTTTGATTTTACAATATTTACAATTTAAATAGCAATATCCAATGCTCCCTACAACTCAGAACTCTTCTTGCAACCAAAGCTTGTTTATCAATAAAATCATGTTCCCAAGCTAAAGCAAGTTTTAAAGCATAGATAAAAGAAATTTATCTATTTGTATACAGTCATTGTAATAATCGAGAACAGTTATATAATTTGTGAAGCCAACTGCAAAATGAAAAGTGTCGGGCCTCTTGTTTCAAAATTGGGTATTTCTAAGAGCAGGGCCCTGTGTGTAATCAAATGTGCAGATGGCTCACCCATGAAGCTGACCTGGGCAAGAATTTTGTTTGTAGATATCCCTGTCCCATTCCTAGTGTAAGGTCAATCAATGTGAATACAAATTTCCAAATTTAAAAAATAACATGAACAAGGTTCTTGACATGCATTTTCTTCTCTACCAATGTGGACAGTTTATTAACTTGGAATGGTTAAAAACATCTGTGGATTTTTCTGTGTGTAAGGTGTAACTTAACTACCATAATCTACATCCTAGTCTGGTGAGCAGTTTCTCAGTGCCTCAGTTCCTCATCTGTAAAATGGGAATAATGTTGTACCTACCCCAAAATCATAAGGATTAGTTGGGTTAATATGAAAATGCACTTAGTAAGTTCTATGGGACTGCTTGTTATTGTCATTTCTATTATTATTTAGTCAGTTCATTCGCTGTACAAACTACAATACTGTCAGAATAGGGAACGTATTTAATTGCAGTAGCAGATTTGTATAGTCTTTTTTTTTATTTGTTCTAATTAGTTCTACAAGACAGCAGAATGCATTTCGGTTCATTGTACAGAAATGGAGCACAGCTTTTCATTTCTCTGGTAGTATATGATGTAGAGTTACACCATATGTGCAGTCATACATGTACCTAGGGTAATGATGTCCGTCTCATTCCACCATCTTTCCTACCCTGATGACCCCTCCCCTTCCCTCCCTCCCCTTTGTCCAATCAATGCTGATCCATAATGCTCCCGCTCCCATTATGGATCAGTCTTCACTTATTAGGGAAAATATTCAGCTTTGGTTTTTTGGAATTGGCTTACTTTGCTTAGCATGATATTCTCCAATTCCATCCATTTACCTGCAAATGCCATAATTTTATTCTCTTTTAAAGCTGAGTAATATTACATTGTGTATATATATACCACAGTTAGATTTATATAATTTTAAAAAATCTACCAACAGCACACTAGGTAAAACCTTCTCCATGTTTATGTAAAATTCTCTATTTTTCAGTAGAAAACTTTTGAAACTGGTAAGTAATGTTGATTCTTATGAGACTCTCCAAGCCACTCTCGTTAAATGAGTTTAAATGTTAAGCTTACTGATAATTTTAACCAGTGCCCTTAGTTTTCCTTGCAAAGAATGAATTGATTTAATTTTAGAGTCTGAATGTTCTCTAAATAAATCGGTCCACATTGCACTAGAGATTTCTCTCATACTATTGTTTGACAATGTTTTGTGATAAAGAACACAAAGCAGAATGGCTGTTATTGGAAAGAAAAAACATGTTCTATGGAAGATTCATTATGTTTAGTATTGGTGTTTTTTGTTTTTTTTTTTTTGCTTTCAATTCTACATAGTCCTTGGAACTTTGGTTGAAAAACTTTCATTATATTTTTATTAGAGCTTGAGTCTTTTATAAAAACTCCAAACTGCTACTGTATTGTGTCCAAAGGAATTCTCATGTCTGCTTTCTTCTACACCCCGATTCTTCCTGATTGGAATCTTGCTACAGACTGGCAAAGTTGAAAAGATTTAAATGATGTACCATGCCAACTCCTTTTACTAGAAAGTGATAGTGCAATTCAAAACTGAAATCAAATTTGTATGAAAGATATCTGTATTAGTTCACGAGGATTGTCATGAAAAAGTACCACAAACTAAGCGGCTTAAAACAACAGAATTTTTAAAAATTCTGTTCTAGAGGCTAGAAATCTGAAATTGAGGTGTC